GGCCTCAGTTTCCTCACTTATAAAATAAGGGAGTTGGACCAGATGGACTTCATGGTCTCTTCTAGATTTAAATCTGTGATACTGTAAATGTAAAATATAGCTAACCCAAGGACTTCCCTTCATTCTAATCACCCATATTAGGAGAGAGATTAGGTAAACTAGAGAGATGTTGAATGCTAGCATCAATCTGAGTCATGCTGCTACACTCCCCACTAATGAGGGTTAATTAATGCTAGGTTAACTATATGTATCACATAGAAATTCTTAGTATCTTACAACAAACTGCATTGTAATTAGCAGGCTTTTAATAGATGATTTTTGATGAAGATGATGACATGTAACAGATAAAATTACAAAGTAATAGTGATGAAGAAAAACAAATTTCTCATTGGGCATACTGAATCTTTCTTATTCTAAAGATCATAGGAACAAAGATTTAGATCTAGAAGGAATCCTATAGTTCTGATTGGGGGGGGAACCTGGGACTTTGAGGCCACATGTGATTTTGAGGCCCCAGGTTCCCCACCATTGGTTCTAATCCCTTCTCTCATTTTACAGATGAAGAAACAGAGTGAGCCAGAGATGTAATGTCACTTGCCCAAGACAAAACACTAAGTGTAAGGACAAGGACACTAAACAAGGGCTCCTGTCTCAATCAATCAACAGGAATTTATTGAGTGTTAACTATATGTCAGAATTTGTAGTAAGCTCTGGGAAAACAAACACAAAAAACGAAAACAGTCCCTGCTCTCCACAAACTTAAGTTCGTTAATGGGGAGTGTTGGGGGGGGCAGGGAAGGGATTCATTTGCAGTTAAAGGGATTAGGAAAGTCTTCACATAGGAGATGGAATTTTAAATTAGCTTTAAAGAAAAGTAGGGATTCCAAGAGACAGAGATGAAGAGGGAGTGCATTCTGGGCAGGAACCCAAGTAATTTGGCTCCAAATGTTCTCTAAAAGCCTCTATATTAATTAGCATTTATTGAAAATGGATCACTAACAGGAGGGAGGAAAAAACCATTAAGTTTTGAAACACTACATTTTGAATGGTTAGATGAATCAAATTAACTCCTAAGCATTTATATGGCATTTATATACTTTGTACTTTTTATCTGTGTGCATGCTTTGCCGATCCATCATCAAGGAATATTGATAGTCATCACCTTAGAGAACTTAAAAAGGAAGTCTGCATTTCAATTTGGATTCTGGTGCAACTTTAACAAAATTTGTCATCCTCTCTCTTCTTGAAATAACAGCTCCTGGAAGACAGTGTCCACATCTATTTACTAGGTATACCTGATCTACCCTATGGAAATTGGGTAAATACTTGTTTACTGATCTTCTTCCATTACTTCCTGAATATTCTTAATTAAGGGCACTTAGATGGTCATCCCATAAGGAATAGAAAACGATCTGAGTTAGTGTCAGTCAATAAACATTGTGTTAAGTGTTGGGGTACAAAGAAACACAAAAGACAAGCCTTGCCCACTACAAGCTCACAATCTAATGGAGGAGACAACAAGCAAACAACTAGGTACAGAGAGGTAAAGCACTGAATTAAGAGGGATTAGGAAAGGCTTCCTGTAGAAGGTGTGATTTTGGCCCAGATTTGAAGGAAGCCAGGGAAGCCAGGAGGTGGAGATGACCAGGAAGAGAATTCCAGGCATGAGGGAGAGTCAGTAAAAATCCTTGGAGTCTGGAGATGGAGTATCTTGAGGTACAGCAAAGAAGCCAGCGTCACTGGTTCACTGGATATGGATAACAGAGTATGTTGGGAGGAGGGGATGAAAGATATATAAAGACTACATGGGTGTGTGTGTGTGTGTGTGTGTGTGTGTGTGTGTGTGTGTGTGTGTGTATAAAGGGCTTTGAAAGAGAAGGTTTTGTTTTTGATCTTGGTGGTGATAGGGAGCCACTGGAGTTTATTGAGGGGGCAGGGAAGGCGACATGGTCAGACTGTACTTTAGGAAGATCACTTTGACAGCTCTAAATTGAGGATGACACCTACACTGGGAGTGGAGGATGGACTGGAATAGGGACAGATTTGTGGCAGGCAGACCATCAGTAGGCTTTTGCAATAGACCAGGCATAAAATAATGAGGGCCTGTACCAAGGTGATGGCAGTGTCAGAGGAGAGAAGAGACATATTAGAAAGATGTTATAAGGGTAAAATTCAGAGGCCTTGGCAAGAGATTGGATAGAAAGGGGTGAGAATGAACATGACATCTAGGTTGTGAATCTGGGGGACTGGAAGTATAGTAGCAATAATACAACAGTAATGAGGAAGTTTGGAAGGGGGTAGGGCTTGGGGAGGAAAGATAATGATAACTCATTATCTTTATTATTCATTATTTTTATTTCCTCTTCTTTATCACATCATTATCATTATTTGTTTTGGAAATGTTGAATTTAGGATGTCTACAGGACTTCCAGTTTGGGACGTCTAAGACAGGTGGAGATACAAAACTATATAGGTTAGCAAGGAGGTTATGACTAGATATGTAGATCTGAGAAACACCAGCATAAAGATGATGATAATTGAGTCCGTGAAAGCTGATGAGTTCACCAAGTGAAATAGTACAGAAGGAGAAAAGAGGACCCACTACAGAGCTCTGTGGAACACCAATCAATGATTAGAAGGGATTACCTGAATGAAGATTCAGCAAAGGAAACAAGAAGGAACAGGCAGATAGATGGGAGAACCAGGAGAAAATAGTGTCCAAAAAAGCTAGAGAGAAGGGAGTATAAAGGAGAAGAGTTGACAGCGTAAGGGGCTGCAGAGAAGTTGAGAAGGATAAGTATTGAGAAAAGGTAATTTGATTTGGCACCTAAGAAATCACTGGTAACTATGAAGAGAACATTTTCAGTTGAATGGTAAGATCTGAAGGCCTAATTGTAGAGAGTTAAGAAGAGAGTGAGAGGAGAGATAGTGGAGGCATCTATTATAGATGACCTTCTTAAGGAGTTTAGCCACAAAAGGGAGGAATGAAATGGGATGATAACTAGCAGGGATGGATGGATGAAGTGAGGTGGGTTTTGTTGTTGTTGCTGGGTTTTTTTCAATAAAATATGAGGCAAAAGAGGGTGGGGGAAAGGGAGCCATGGGCAGGTTTGAGGAAGAATGAAAAGGTTGGGAAGACCTCCTTGGTGCAACACTAAGTTAATTGTTGTTTAGTTGTTTTTTCAGTCGCGTCCAACTCTTCATGACTCTTTTTGGGGGACTTTTTGGCAAAGATTCCAGCGTGGTTTAGCCACTTCCTTCTCCAGCTCATTTTACAGATGAGGAAACTGAGGCAAACAGGGTTAAGTAACTTGCCCAGGGTCACACAGCTAGTGTCTGAGGCTGGATTTGAACTCAGGTCTTCCTGACTCTGGGCACAGTGCTCACTTCACCATTCTAGCTGCTTAATTAGGAAGGTGTAAAATATTGCCTTGCAAGTAGGGCCCAGTTGAGGTTATGTAAAATAAATCTGTACAGTATTCAATCAGAATGTTTGTATGATTTTTCTCCACCCTCATTTGGCAGCATGTGTTTAGGAACGCTGGCAGATAGCGGGAGTAATCCAAGGTTATCTTGTCAAGGCATGAGGTGACATAATAAGGGGGCAAGGGAATCCAAAGAGAATAATGTAGAGCTGAATTGAATAAGGTAGGGCTCAAGCTGGGGAAAGGAGGAGACTGTAGCTAATTTGGTAAAGTCCTGGGAAAGAACTTCCAGGTCAAGGTAAAAGTGGAAAGTAAACAGATTGTGATCAGATAAGGGAATTTCAGAATTCATGAATGAAAGTGGCTCATTTGTGGGGTATGAGGTACAAGGGGACATGTGTTCTTGAAGTGAGGTGGAGGAGTTGGACATGGGAAATGAGTAAGGGTGTTTGAAAGAAGCTCAGTTGTATATGTTGAAAGGCCCTAGTATTAGGGCAGGAGTTGGAGAGGAGAGAAAAATTTGAAAGATTACTGAGTCAGGTACTGAATTCATTCAGGAAGTTGGGGGAATGTCTTGGAGATAGAAAATAGCTGCCAGAATTTATATTTGGTGGTAAATATGAACTGGGTAAATGTCTAAGGAGAAGAGGTTCTGACTGACTGCGGTAGGGGAAGAATCTAGAAGTAGCAAGGAGTACCAGCAAACATTCCAACTCCCCACCTGGTCAGTGAGTGTGGGTAGGGGGGAAATGAGTATTAAGTGAGGTCAGGGAGCCCATGTCATCTTGGAGGGGGCTAGAGAGAGCTAGAAGATGGAAGGAGTGAGAAAGGAAAAGATTTAAGATGAAAGGAAGTTTTTAGTGTGTGGAGATTTCAGTTGCCAGTTGTTCCTAATATATCTCAAAACTGTCATATCTCTTAACACCAAAACAAAGCATTTAAGCTGCTTTTCTGGTCTGGAACTTGAGCTTAGGTACATCTCTTGGCCCAGGTTGGATAATCAACCCAAGCCCGGAGTACCTAGTCCCAGCAAAGGGACTAAGGTGTCCCCCCCACCCCTACCCCCCACCACGGCATTCGGCTTCCAGGTCTATGGGGGACCCTAAAGCGTCAAGTAGTTTCCATGGAGGCAGGGTGGGAAATAGGAGGGGATACCCTTAAGCGGCTGGGGTGAGTGAAATACGGGCGATGCCCCCAGCACCCACACAGACGCGGATCACTCCTAGCAAGGGCAACACCTTCTCGGCCAGTCAGGCTTTCGGAATTCGTACCTCGGCTTGGCCAGTCCCTGGTCAATGCGCTCCCCCACGGAGCACGCGCGCAGGTCCTGGGCGCCCACGTTACTCAGGCCATGGGGGGGGGGGGCCGAGGAGATCGCGGCGCTGAGATGGTGCACGCGCGCACGCAGCCGCCTGCCCCTGGACCCCGTCGTCCTCAACCAATCTGAGGACTAGAAAGAAGGGGGAGCTATTGTGACATGAGGGGTGGGGTCGTCCCACAGAGGGGCATGAAGGCGGGGGGCGGGGTGGAGGAGGGGTGGGAAATGGGCGTCCCCTCGCTACCTCCGAGCCCAAGCCAAGGACCTGCCGGAAGGGGGGCCGCCGCGGCCCCCGCCCCCGCCGCCGCCGGCGCCGCGCGCTCTCGAGGCCGGGCGCGCGCGCCTGGTGGAGGGAGGGTCCGGGAAGCGATCCTCGCTTGCCCTCTGTGCCGAGGCCGCCCTCCCCGCTCCCTTCCGGTTCCGAAGCTGCTTGTCTGTTGAGCCCGGTGTATGTGCGGTAACAACATGTCGGCGCCGCTCCCTGCCATAGTGCCCGCAGCCAGGAAGGCAAGCGCCGCGGTGAGTGTGTGGGGGGGCCGGCGGGGAGCGCGGCGGCGGCTGCGGAGGCTTAGGGGACTCCCCAGTCCTTCCTCGGGGTCTCGTCCCTGCCTGGTCTGGGTGGACGGTTGTCCCTGGGGTGGCCGGGCTCGTCCCCGGGGGTGAGGCTGCCGCCGGCCCCGAGTGTTTTCTGCATTGCGGAGGCGGGCGGGACTCGGGGACACCCCCCCCAGCTTTGCTGACCCCCGCTTTGCTGCTTCTTTTATCAGGCTCTTTAGGGCGGGGGTGAGGGGGAAGGGGGTTTTACCGATTTCTTACTTAATTGAACTCCCGTGACTTTTTCGAGTGGACTCTGGAGCGCAGTTTGTGCCCAGAACGAAGGGAGTCGTGCCCCTCCAGCCATTCCTCCAAAGTTCCCCGTAATCCCCCCCCCCCCCCGATATTTCGGGGCCAGGGGTATATCGGCCCATTCGGGCTCTGGTCTTTCCCAAAAAATCAAGAGCAATCTGGAAATCTCTCGTGAGATGGGGGAGTGCTGGTTTGGGGAATGCTGTCTGTTCCTGAGAGTTTAAAACGCAAGTTGCCCTGAGGAAAGCCCATTAAGGAATGTGTGAAGGAAAATTCTGCAGTTAGATGCGGAGATCTTTTTGACCCTGAAAACTGGTTAATATTTTATGAATGTACCGAGTGTAACATAGAAGCCAGAGATTTTTCTCTGTAGAATAGGTTATTTTGTACCTACGTGGTTTTTTTTTGGTGGGAAGATTTATCGTACTTTACAAACATAAATTAATTAATTCTCAGTACTCCAGGGAGCGAAGTAGAAAGGAAGTATTAAGGCCATTTTAGATGAGGCCCACGGAGCTTAATTAATTTGCTGAAGATCATACAGTAATTTTTCAGGGGAGCTGGGAATAGGATTTGAAAGTCCTGATTTTATGCCATATTCTAAAAACAATTAAAAAAAACTTATGGTGTAGAAATGATTTCCTGTGGGGTTTTTTTAGGTGTTGCTTAATTTTAATTTTTGCTGTTTTGTTCTAGGTTATTTTTCTTCATGGATTAGGAGATACGGGGTAGGTACTAAGGAGCAGTAGTAACGAAACTGTAGCTTACAAACTAACTTGTTACTTTTTAAATGTATAGAAAACAGTCTATATTCAATAATTATGACATTGTGTAAAGTTTGTTGTTAGACATTTTAAATTAGTAAAATAACATATAAGCCTTTATTTGAGGCAGCCGGTAGTGGGGTGGGGAGAGTGCTGGGCCTGGAATCAGGAAGACTTGAGTTTAAAGCTGGCCTCAGACAATTTCTAGCTGTGTGACCTTAGGCCAGTCACTTAACCTGTTTGCCTGAGTTTCCTCACCCGTAAAATGGGGATAATAATGGCACCTATCTGGGTTATTATGAGGATAAAATGGGATAATGCTTGTAAAGCTCTTAGCCCACAATGCCTTGCATATAGAAGGCGCTTAATAAATGCTTATTTCTTTCTTTTTGTTAGTAATCATTGAATTCAACAAACATTCATTAAATCCTTGAGACTAGCACATAGAAGCCATTCAGGCTCTGCTTCAGACTGTGCTCTCCAGGAATTTATAATTTAGAGGAAAGAAGGAAAAGTGAACAAAATAAGCAATGGACAGGGGCATGGAAGTACAGGCTAAAAGTTCTGTGAGAAATTTGAGTAGGGAGAGATCCCTTGAAAGAAAGCCTCTTTGGGACTTGAAGGAAGGGACATTAAAGGAGGTGGTGCCCTTTTCAGGTTTGAGAATTGGTGCTTAGGGGAAAAAAGAATAGAAATAGTCTGGTTAGGCTGGAATGTAGATTATATAAAGGGAGAATGAGATAAGGCTAGAAGCAGATTGAGGAATGTCTTAAATGCCTGAATGAGGAGATTTTTCAACTGTCAAATGGAAAGCTACTCAACATTTTTGAGAAGAGAAGTGACATGATATTGGTACAAATAACGGGGTTACTTGGGTTATTTGAAAGGGGATGTTGGATTAGTGAAGGGATAGACTAGAGGCAAGAACACCAACAAAAATGTTAGGTGAAAGTTGAGAGCATTAACTGTAGTGGTTGCAGTATGTGTGGAGAAGAGGCTGAATATGAGAATTTGCACAGGTATAGAAAGGAATGGATATGTCAACTAATTGAGTTTTAGGGTAAGACAGCCAAGATGACCAGGCTGAGTAAGCATAGTAGTACCATTAATAGAAATAGGGGGAGAGGAAAAAGTTTAGGGGAACAGATATAAGCTTAGTTTTAGACATTTGAGGTGCCAATGGGAAATCCATGTGGAAATAAATAGCAGCTAGCTGGAAATGTGGCATTCAAGCTCTGGGGAAGAGGTTGGAATTTGGGAATCATCTGTCCCAGAGGTGGTGATTAAAGCCAGGGCAGTAAATTAACTCACTAAGAAGGAAAGAGTAAAGATAGATGAGTTGGGGCCCCAGATAGAAATTTGGTGGTACATCCACATTTAAAGGGCAGGATAAGGAGTAGTCAGAAGAAGAGAACTTCGAAATTACATGTCATGGAAGCCATGGAAAGAGAGAATTAAAAAAGAGAAGGGTGGTTTACTGCAGAACAATTAAGAGGCTAGAAGGAAAAGCTCTTGGATTTAGTGATGAAGAAGTCATTAATGACTTTGGAGAGAACTGTTTCAGCAGACTGATTTACTCTTCAACATCATGTTTCTCTTTTCATCCTTTTTTTTTCTGTGAAGCACTCAGACTTTGAACTTTTCCTGAAATGAAAGACATTTGGTGTGTTAGAAGTGGTGTTTAAAAGAAAAGGTTATATATTTACCACAAGCAATTCTGATCCTGCCAAGATGAATTTCTGAGCAGATAAGGATGAAGGTACTTATAGTAATGGGATGGATTGAGGAACATAGATAGGGGTAGATTTGAAGAGAAGGTGACATTAGAGGCGACATGTGACCTAGGATGCTCCAGATGAAAGATCTTAGAGATTTTAGAAATAACATTCTCTTGAAACTATGAAAGGTTATTTTAAAGAGTAAAAGAGGCAAACTCCAGATGTTAGAATGCTTAACAATATTGAGACTCATGTAATTTCAGAGGCAGAATGGACCAGAAATCATCTACTTACATATTGTAGTACAGCCCCCTTATTTTATAAATCAGGAAACACTATGAGAGATTGTGGCTTGCTTGAGGCCCATCAAGAGTCTTGGCTAACTCTTCTTATTTTTGCCATCTTTTATTTTAGATTTTGTGTTGTTGCTTAATTTATAATAGCAGTATTAATAATTAGCATGAATATAGCCCTTCAGGTTTTGCAGAGCACTATACATATGTTATCTCATTAGATCCTCACAACAGCTCTGTGAATTTGTGTGCTATTATTATTCCCATCCCCATTTTATAGATGAGGAAACTGTTAAGTAAAGTACCCAGGATCACACAACTAGTAAATGTTTAATTGATTATTTTATGAAGTCTTTTGAAACCACATGAAGAATGAACAAGGATAAGACTAGGTAGCAAAATTGCAGTCACAGAACAAAACCAAAGAGAAAAAAGATGAAGTTAGAAACAAAACAGCTTCTTAATCCTAAAGTGAAAGGATTGAACTTTTTAACCTTTAAGGACCTTTCCAGGTTGAAAAACGTTGAGGTTTCAAATATTTTGATATGGCTACAAGATTAATGATTTATGTAACCTTTATATTGTCTTTTGCTTTGCTTTAGTAAAAGGGCAGCTGGATTTCTCCCAGCAGCCAGGCAGGGTTGTGAAAGTGACAGGCTGCTTTTGCCAAAGAGGACCCGCATTGAAAGACTAGTCTAACTGAACTTACTTGTATAATCAAAACCATGGGAGTTTTAAAGTTGGAGGGCATTTGAAATGAAAGAATAGGATTTGGCAACTAGTCTGTTTTGTTAGATGAAAGAGGAACATCAAAGATGATTCCAAGGTTATAATCTTGGGTGAGAATGGTGGTGCTGTTAACAGAACTAGGGGGAAGGTAGCTTACAAATTCACAATTGGAATTTCATAATTATAATATGAACTGCTTTGAGCAACTTTAATGTCAATTTTGGTCAGTGAACTGGAGCAGGTTTTAGTCAATAGCATAAGGAATGCCTGCAGCTTCAAAATGAAGGCACACTCTGTCTTTGGGTAAAGCTAGTATGTTACGTCATCATATGGTAAATAGTGTCCTGCAGTCCTGGTTCTTTGTTGTTACTAGAGCACAGGAGAAGGTAGAGGAAAGTGGATTTAGCCAAATACTGAAAATGGAATAGTGACCTGTTAGTTGGTTTTTTAACCCTTTCACTAGTTTTGTAGCCTAAGCACAACCTAGTAATTTTGGAAGACGCATCAGACATTCAAATTAGAAAAGGCTAATCTGGGCAATTTTGTATTCATTTCATGTTGGATAAACTTTAGAGCAAGGCAAAAATCCTGACTTGGAACTTCTGCTTATTTATGTGGGACTTAACAAGAGTAGTTTCCTATTAGTAATTAGGTAATAACAAACTTTAATGTGTAAGTCTTGCAAGTTCATTTCAGGTTTTAAGGGAGATTTCAGTTGCCTGTGCTTAAAGATAAGATTGGTTTGAGATAGAATGGCAGAGGAAGGGAAAGGAATAAACATTTTTATATAGTACCTACTATGTGCCAGGCACTGTGCTAAGTACTTTTTACAAATATTATCTCATTTGATCTTCACGACTATCCTCAAAGCAGTTACTACTGTTGTCCCCCTTTTACATTTGAGGAAACTGAGGCAAACAGATTAAGTAATTTGCTCAGGATTATGCAGCTAATAAGCGTCTGTGGACACTTGAACTGATTCTTTTTGACTTCAGGCCTGCAATTTATCCACTGTTGTCACCAGCTGCCTCTGCAAGAATATGCTAGTATGTCTTTTTTCAGTGCTAGCTGAAATTTAGGTAGGTAGAAGTTATTTTGCTTATATTAAAAATTGTACATAGAGTGGAGAAAAAAGCTTAAAAATGAAATTGAATACATATAGGTTTAATTTTCAACTGAAATGCAAACGTTCAAATTGTATACTCTAATAATTTGCATTTGAATTTTTATTGTGCTTTAAAGATTACAAAGTGTTTTATATATGGTAGCTGATTTGATCTTCAAAACAGCACCATGAGGTGGTTGCTATTATTATCATCTCCAATTTATAGATGAGGAAACTGAATCTGAGAGAGGTTAACTGACTAACCACTGGTTGCACAGTAAGTATCTGAGACAAGTTTTGAACTCATTCCAAGTCCAGTACTTTCTGCACTATGACGTGTGGGTGCAGAAAAAAAAAAGCCAAACTTTCTTCCTTCATATCCTTAGAGCAGACCATCTAGAAAATCGTATTCTGTTTCTGGATGAGCTAGTGTTTCTGGTGGCTCTTCTCATCAGTAAGTGAATTAGAATCTCAGCAGTTTGAAGGAATTTCAGACCCCTCCCCCCGCCAGTCCTGCATGAAAAAGAATTTCCTCTAATGTATTTTGTAAGTGATTATCTGGTCTTTGCTTGAAGACCTCCAATGTGGGCAAACTTGGGACAACCTATTTTATTTTTGGATAGTTTGGTGTTAGTACCTCTTTTCTGTTCTTCAAGTCAGAATTAGCCTCTTTGCAACTTCTAAACCATTGTTCCTGGTTCTGTCTTCCAAGGTCAAGCAGAATGAGTCTTATTTGTCTTCCACATGACAGTCCATTAAATACTTGAAGACATCTATTATGTTTCCCCTGTTTCCTTTTCTCCAGGCTAAACATCCCATTTCCTTAGCCTCTTCTCATCTTAAGGGCCCTTTCTGTACTTTGGTTTTTGTTCTTGAGCCTATCAATTTTTCCTAAAATGTAGTGCCCATATAATGTCATTTCCCTTCTAATGCCCAAATTCTTTAATTCTGTTAATTGCATGTTGAATAGAATTTGGAGCAAGGAAAAAATCTTGACTTGAAACTTCTACTTGTTTATATCTGTCTTTGGAGTTCCAAAGCTGCTACTTTGACTTCAGTTTAAAATCTTTTTGCTGTGAGCTTATAGGAAGAAAAGAACAATGTACTTTTATGGAAGAA